CCTTAGGCATGAAAGCTGGCTGGATGACTTTAGGCCAATCACCAGGAGACGGTGAGTTCTGGTCCCGCCTTAGGCATGAAAGCTGGTTGGGTGACTTTGGACCAATCACCAGGAGACTGTGAGTTCTGATCCCGCCTTAGGCATGAAAGCTGGTGGGTGACTTTGGACCAATCACCAGGAGACTGTGAGTTCTGATCCCGCCTTACGCATGAAAGCTGGCTGGGTGACTTTGGACCAATCACCAGGAGACTGTGAGTTCTGATCCCGCCTTAGGCATGAAAGCTGGTTGGGTGACTTTGGACCAATCACCAGGAGACTGTGAGTTCTGATCCCGCCTTAGGCATGAAAGCTGGCTGGGTGACTTTGGACCAGTCCTTCTCTCAACCCCACCTACCTCAAAGGGTTGTTTTTGTGGGGAAATTAGGAAAGTATATTAGGTGTGTTTGCCACCTTGAGTTGCTTTAAAAAAAATAATAAAGGTGGGATATAAAATAACTAACTAACGAACCAACCAACTAACTAACTAGCTCTCCTCCTGCAGTGTCTTCAACCTCTGTAGCAATGGTGAAATCCAGCAGGTTCTGACAGGTTCTGGAGAACTAGTAGCAGAAATTTTGAGCAATTCGGAGAACCGGCAAATACCACCTCTGGCTGGCCCCCGAGTGGGGTAGGAATGGGGATTTTGCAGTATCCTTCCCCTGCCATGCCCACCAAGCCACGCCCACCAAGCCACACCACACCTACCAAGCCACGCCCACAGAACCAGTAGTAAAAAAATTTGGATTTCACTACTGTAGTCATCTAACACTTAATTTTGCTGGAAGGCAGAGCAAGTGCCTATGAAGGAGAGGGGAGAGGAAAGGAGAAAATACCCTCTAAAGTTGGAATTGGAAAGAGGGAGGGGCATTCATTGGATGGAACAGCAGCGATGGAGGACTCCCAGAAGACCTGAAGGATGGTCAGCAGACATCCTTCCTGTGGTTGGGCGAGAGCAGAATTCAGCCAGACAGAAAAATAATTACTGGGGGGGGCAGGAAGGGGGGAGTTGATTGGGTGTCCCCCTCCCCACTTTCTTCTCTATAATAACTGCACAGTAATTAGTTTCACAATTTTGCTGCTATACTTTATAATAGCCTCCATTAAAGTTATGGGTTTTTTTTAAGGCAGTAATGGCTTACAGAGTAATTAATGAGGATGAACTTTATTGCTACTTTTTATTGGGTGGGGGTTGCCCATTCTTCTCTCTTTATCTCCCTCCCTCCCTCCCTCCCTGTCTTTCTTTCTTTCTTTCTTTCTTTCTTTCTTTCTTTCTTTCTTTCTTTCTTTCTTTCTTTCTTTCTTTCTTTCTTTCTTTCTTTCTTCCTTTCTTTCTTTCTTTCTTTCTTTCCCCCTCTGTTTCTTTCTCCCTCTTTTTCCTTCTCTGTTTCTCTCACTCCCGCTCCTTCTCCCTCCCTCTCCCTCTCCCCCCTCTCTCTCACACACACAAACACCTTTTCCAAACTGTTTTCCTCTAACCGAAAATCCTTAGCCCCTTTCCTATAATATTAATCTTCCCACTTTTTACTAACAGCCCCCTCCCAAAATTTAGCTTATGAGAAGATAGACAGGACGAAGTTTTCGTTTCCCTCCCATAAACACTCAGGGGAGAGGGACGGTGTAAAAATTGGATACGTCGATAAGATAAAAGATAATAGTAGAACTCGACACCTTCCATGAAATGAGCTAATAGGTGACTTTTAAACCTGCTAAGGAGGAAATATTTATTCGTACAGCACGAAATCCCGTATGTGAAATTTCCTGCCACGAAATTTGGTGTGGGCGAAGGGGTGAGATAGCTTCAAAAGGGCCTTGGCGATTTTAAGACGTGTTGGGGGCCTCTTCTTCTCGTTCTTAGTTAGAGAAAATCTTTCTTTCTCCCGGAGAAATTTAGTGAAACCATCCCCCAAAATTTCTCGCCTTACCAGTCCAACGAAGAAATTTGCAAGACCCTTCAGGCCAGCTCTAAAATAAGTACCGTATTTTTCAGACTATAAGACGCACTTCCCACCCCCCACCCCCCAAAAAAGTGGGTGGAAATGTCTGTGCGTCTTATAGACCAAATATGGCCTCCCAAACCTTCAGCAAGTCACGTTTTCAACCTCCCCGGCCCCCAGAAGCTCTCTGCGGGCCAAAAATGGGTGTGTTTTTGGCAAAAAAGGGATGCGCAGAGAGTTTGGGAGACCTGTTTTTGGCCTGCAAAGTGCTTCTGGGGGCCAGGAAGGGTGAAAACGCAATGCGCGGAACCAAAAACTATTTTGTTCCCCCTTGTTTTTCTCCGTTAAATCTAGGTGCGCCTTATAGTTTGAAAAATACGGTATCTCACTTTTCTGAAGGACAAACCCCCTCCCCCCAAATTCGACTGTCGTTGATTTTTTTTTAAAAAAAGGATGATTTGAATGGATCCTAGTGGGCAGTGCTGGATTTTACATATCCCCCCCCCTAGTGCAGCGGTCTCCAACCTTGGCAACTTTAAGCCTGGCGGACTTCAACTCCCAGAATTCCCTAGCCAGCTCTGCAGGTAGTTTGGAGAACCGGTAGCAATGGCAGCACAAGGCTCCGCCCACCCACCCGGTCATCATTGGTTAAATCACCCTCTGTGCATGCGCCAGTGGTGGGTTCCTCCCGGTTCGGCCGAGCTGGTAGCGGTGACGATATGACGTCATTGAACCGGTTCTCTTTGTTCGGGAGCTGGGGGGCCCCGCCCCCCCCGCGTTATTCTTACCTTTTATTTGGCCCCACCCCCAATCTATTGCTGCCTCCTGAGTCCCAGCTGATCGGCTAGAAGGAAAAAAACTGTTTAAACTCTTGCTGCGGGGCTTCAAAGGGCCGCCCTACAGCTGATCAGTGTTAAAAGGCAGTGTAGTGGTAGACCGGTGCCTCCAAAAACAAATGAGTAGACTGGTGTCTGCAAAAATAAATGAGTAGACCGGTACAGCTCTGCAAGCAGTTAAAAGCCTGGTAGACCAGTACCTCTGCCAAATCCTAAAGAATTGTCACATGACCATCAAGCCACGCCCACAAAATAAGCCACGCCCACAGAACCGGTAGTAAAAATTCATAGAACCCACCCCTGGCATGCGCAGAAGGGTTTTCGCATGCACAGAGGGTCCAAGCACGCATGTGACAAACCGGTAGGGAAGGTAAATAGATTTCACCCCTGCACTGTCCCCCTGCCTGTCAATACACACACACATACACACACACACACACACATACACACTGCCTCCCCCCACCCCATTTGTCTGCGTTGTCAATTGCCTGTTGATGTCTCTTTCTTGATCCCATCCCAACTTCTCTCTCAGAATTGCAAATTATCCACTCCGGGCATTGCCACTGAAGTGATGTATACCGCTTGCCAAGATAACCCCCTTGGTAAAATATGGCCTGCTTAAATCTTGTCTGGGTTCCCATTAGAATCTGAGCTAAACCTTGGTGTCAGCTTAATATACTCCCAGCCTTGAACTTCTTTTGGCAGGAGGAAGCAGTAGGAAGTGGAAAGAGATCGAACGGAATCTAGAGACGATCTAAGATTTTTATTTATTTTTTTCCTGGTGGGAATCTAATCGAACAGGACAAGAATGGATGCTCCATCACCGGAGGTTTTTAAGGAAGAGATTGGACAGTCCCTTGTCTGCAATGGTATACTTGATTTCATCGAGGGCTGCATCAGGGTTGTGTTTGACCTTCGGGGTGTGTGGCCAGAGTGGGCATGGCCAGCTCAACATCACTCGTATCAGGGGTGTCTGTGGCGGCCCGAAACAGAGGTGAAATCCGATTATTTTTTACTACCGGTTCTGTAGGTGTGGCTTGGTAGGCATGGTGTAGCTTGGTGAGTGTGGCTTGGTGGGCGTGGCAGGGGAAGGATACTGCAAAAGCCCCAATCCCTCCCCACTCCTGGGGGAAGGATACTGCAAAATCTCCATTCCCACCCCACTCCTGGGGAAGGTTACTGCAAAATCTCCATTCCCTCCCCACTCCTGGGGGAAGGATACTGCAAAATCTCCATTCCCACCACCGCTCCAGGGGAAGGATACTGCAAAATCCCTATTCCCGCCCCCACTCTGGGGCCAGCCAGAGGTGGTATTTGCCGGTTCTCCGAACTACTCAAAATTTCCGCTGCCGGTTCTCCGAACTGCTGAAAATTTCCGCTACCGGTTCTCCAGAACCTGTCAGAACCTGCTGGATTTCACCCCTGCCCCGAGAGCTCGGCCAGTGAAAATGGGCTCCTGAACTCCGTTTTCAGCGGTGACGGCCTCCTGCAACCTTTGTCAGCAAAAACGGAGCTCGGGAGGGTTGCACGTGGCCTTCTCAAGCTCCCTTTTTGCTGGCCGAGCTCCATTTTTGCTGGCAGAGGCACTGCGGGCCAGTCCTTCTGTCAACCTTGGAAGCCATATTAGGACGGAAGCTTCAATGCTGCCACCTCCTCATGTGTGGGAAAGTAGGAGGGGGGGATTTAGGAGAGTGGAATTAGTAGACATAATAGCATTCTTGCTATTGGTCAAGGTCAGGGGCTGGGTCGAGGTGGAATGGATGTTGATTGGAGCATGTAATGAAAGGAGAGAAATGGGATGGTTTTGGGAGATTTTGAATTACTGAAGGAAAGCCCTGGATTTTCAGATTCGGGATTTCTCAGATGTGCCAGTTTACCTATTCTAGTAAAGAGAACTTTGGAAAATGCCTGCGTCCATATCTTTACTGGGAGTTGGGGGTTTTCTGGAACGCTGACACCTTCGCTGTTTCCAGGGCGGCCCCACAGGCCAGATCTAAGCACCCCATGAACCAGTGGGCCTTGAGTTTGACACCCCCTGGTATAGAGTTTCCAGCTTGAGCAAGGGGTTGGACTAGAAGACCTCCAAGGTCCCTTCCAGCTATACATCTCTGTGGTACAATTGTGGAATGGACAATGGACCCATCCATCCTTCGGTGTCTACCCCCCTTTTTTTTTTTGCTTTGTTTCACAGGCATCCTTCCAGAAGGGATCCTGAAGTCCCGGCCAATAACATCACCCAGAGAAGGATCTTCCCTGCTGGGGACAACCTGGCCTCTCTTTGGTGGCAACTGCTGCCTCTTCAAACCTGCTTGTGAAATGGGTGGGTTGTGAGCGCTGGTAAGACTCGTGAGCCTCGTGGCCTTTGAACTGCCTTCTGATCCCTTCTTGCTTTGATCTCCATGTGGTCTCCTGTTCTGTCTCTGGGGTTTCTGCTGTCAGGTAATGAGGAGCTGTGGGTCCCATCAGCCTTGGAGATGCCGAAGCGACGAGACATCTTGGCGATTGTGCTGATTGTGCTTCCCTGGACGCTGCTTATCACCGTCTGGCATCAGAGCGCCATTGCGCCCCTGCTCGCAGTGCATAAGGGTGAGGAGAAAGCCCACGCCAGCTCTGACCATCTCTGGCCCCATCATCCACAACCACCACAACTCATCGTCAACCTTCCCACCATTGTATTCATTTCACCACCTGGTCTCCCATACGTTCCTTCCAAGATTCTGAACCCAAAACATCTTAGCGATCTTGAACCTTGTTTCTTGCTTAGTTTACACATAGGAAAGTCCATGGTGAATACTGAAGTTTCCTTATTGGCCATGAACAAAAATCCATCTTGCCCACCAGTCTTTAACTGATGAAGACAGTTCAGTACAAGCTCAGTAGGAATTCAGCTATGGTTCTTCAAGAATTAAGCTGAATGGAAGGCCACCTTCCCATTCCATATCTCCTGGGAGGATGGAGTTCAACAGAGAAAGAGCGCTCTCTTCCAGAATGGCCTTTCAAAATAAATTTATTTGATTAATAATAATAGTAATAAATTTCAATATGCTATTTCAATATGGAACTCATATTTTCTTCATGAGTTCTGAAATGGTTTCTTGCCCAGAGGAAGAGATAGGCCTTTATTAAAATGTCCAGCTAACTATCTAATTTATGAAAACCCATACAATTATTGTGCTACCTACAGTAGTGGCCAAAATTATGGAAACCTTTTGGGAAAAGTGTATTTTCTAAAACTAGGTCATAACACCACTTGGAGTAGTACCATAACATTATATATCAATGGGAAGATAATTTAATCAAGAATGTAATGCAATAACTTTTATGAAGGATTTGCTATTAGAAAAGCAGTTACAGTATAAAGAAGAAAAGTGAAACAGGTAGAAAAAAACGAGATATACAAAAATGATCACCATAGAAAAAACAAGATATACAAAAATGATCACCATAGAAAAAATGAGAGATACAAAAATGATCACCACGTCAGTTAATCTTTAGTTGGGTAACCTTTAGCATGAATTACGACCTTACAACATCTCCCCATGGAGTGAACCAAGTCTTTTAGTTCTGCAGCTGTTATCACGTGAAACCTAGATGGAATGATGGCTTCTATTAACTGGGTTTTATTGCTGGGTCGCTTCTGACTAGCAAGTTTCTTTAGTCGGCTCCATAGATTTTCAATTGAGTTAAGGTCTGGGCTATTCCCAGGCCATTCCAGCAGTGGAATAGGATTATCTTGAAAGTCAAAAAAAAAATATAATGGTGTTATTAGCCATCAAAGCTCGAAAATACACTTTTCCCAAAAGGTTTCCACAATTTTGGCCACTACTGTATTTCTCTGTTCATTTTACAATGTCCAACATACGTTCACCCCTTTCCATAAAGATTCCAAAGTTATTGTTTTCTCTAAATCAGCTTAACGGGGACCCAGTATTTTGTTTCTTATCATGGCCAACCTTGCAAGCTTTCAAACAGGCTCAGGTCAAGTTTAGCATCCTTTAAGACTCATGCCGAGAAATGTGCCTTGACCCCCTTGTTACTATGTTTGTATCCCTATATGGTCGTCTTGCTTACAAGCTATGGATAGGCTGGATTTACACATCGTGCTAAGCAGAATATGGCTTGTTTAGTGAAATGTGTGAATACAGCCAATCGTAGCTTATTCAACCAACCGTACCCAGCACAGGCTTACAGTGTCATGTATGACATTGGTCAAGGCCATTTTCTTCATCACAACCTCTTCCCTCTACTATCTTATTAGTCTTGGTGGCGTAGTGGTTAGAGTGCAGTACTGCAGGCTACTTCTGCTGACTGCCGGCTACCAGCAATTCGGCAATTCGATTCTCACTGGCTCACGGTTGACTCAGCCTTCCATCCTGCCGAGGTGGGTAAAATGAGGACCCAGATTGTTGGGGGCAGTAGGCTGACTCTGTAAACTGCTTAGAGAGGGCTGTAAAGCAGTATATATGTCTAAGTACTATTGCTATCAGGGTTAGAGTTCCATCTTGCCTATCGTTCTTTTTCCAACTACTATATAAATATGGACCAACAAAATATAAACACAATACCTTCTTTCCTCTGGTGGTTTAAGCCCTGAGTTTTAGAGATTCAGGACCTGCTCAGTAATCTTCCATAAGGGACAACCGGATTGACTTTGTTCTCCCAATTCCTGAGCCAACACCTTACCCAGCACAACACACTAGGAATGAAGAAGATATAGCAGTTACCCAAAAAAACTTTAAATCCATTCCTTACAGTATGGAAAAAATTTGCACAGGAGCAGGTGAAGCTTGGCCAATAAATCCCAAGGAAGCAATAATATTTAAGTGTAAAATCGTTTTCCTGGAACCCCGAGGAACCATATCTTGGTCTTTCTTGATTGCATTGAATCAAAAATTGGTAGGTTGACTGACGTTCAGATCGAAAGTGTCGCATGAATCATTTCATCATTTCTGTGACGTACGTTGGTAGGAATAAACGGATTGTCTGTGTGTGCTTTTTAAAACTCCTTCTGACCTTTAAAAATGAACGGTTTTATTTATACACGGGTCTTTTACGAGCAATCTTTCACTTGGGGTATGTTGCATGTTAGCTAATTCTTTGCAACTGCAAGGCTGGTCCAATTTGATCAATCTTTCATTTCTTCCTTGAAGAATTATAGATGACGACAATGATGATATCAATACTGTATTTATTCAATAGGTAAAGGTAAATTTCCACATGTAGGACATTGCTGTCCATGGTCCTGAAGTCAAAATCTCTGACCTTGCTGTCCATGGTCCTGAAGTCAAAAAATCTCCAACTTTGCTGTCCATGGTCCTGAAGTCAAAATCTCCAACCTTGGCACTAGAACATTTCTATTTCATTTCTCCTAGGCCTGTTTCAGCTAGCTATCTCTTCTTAATCTTTTTATATAGAGAGAAGCACATTCTATTTTCTTTTTTTTTTAAATGATTTTATAATGGTTTTTTTCTTTAACATATATGAGTACTTACTGAACAGTAGATCGTCTGGGTCATTTTACTATATGCAGAATGCTAATAAGAATAATAATACTATTTAGATATACATAATATTTTCCAATCCCTATCAGATGGGTGTCAATGCCAGCACCCAACCTCTCCACTCACACCTTTTTCCTCAGCCTTCTTCATTTTTCATTCTTTCAGTTCACCAGGCAGCCGTTTTGCAAATCGTTGGTTTCCTGTTGCAGTAGATCGGTAGATTTTTTATGCAGTTAGAGGATTAGGAGAATCCTTTGGCTGGGAGAAATGAGATGATTGTTTTGCTTCTGAGCACAGTAGGAAAAAAGGCAACGTTCCCCAAGGCATCCCTTCTGCAGACACAGGTCAGGTTTTTGAGTCCATATAATACTTAGTGAGTGCTATCAGGCTGTGTTTCTGATAGCTCTGGATTATTCTCGTCTCCCTAAAGAATTGTGAGAAGTATAATAATGGAAGCTAACCCTACATCAGATCCTTGTCAAATGGCAGTTGCCAAGATTTCCTGGTAGGGAAGACAACCCCGTTTCTTGAGCTTTATTGTCTTGAGAAAAAGATACCCAACTGATTTTGGTCCACCCATTGGCAAATTATTAAGAGCAGACCACAACAAAGAAGAAGGAGCAGAGTGAGATTTCCATTCAATTCATTAGTTTTAATTGGAATTGCGTTTGATTGCTAAAATACACTTAATATGATTATTCCCTGGTCGTGCATGACTTGCTTATGGAATTAACAAGTTTCCTACAATACTCTGACTCATAAACGAATCAGACTACACGTACACAATAGGTTGAAGCACCCAAAAATTAAACCTAATCAGCTTTAGTAATATTAGATGAATGAAGTCACATAATCTTGATCTAATCTGGTGATGTTTACTATGTGAATGCAATTGGTTACAGATACAGATACAGATTAACAGTGTTGGAAGGGACCTTGTAGGTCATCTAGTCCAACCCCCAGCCCAAACAGACCCTACACCATTTTTGACAGATTCCCACAGATGCCGTCACATCCTCATTCCATCATACAGACAGTCCTTGACTTATGACCATGATTGAGCCTCAAATTTCTGTTGCTAAGTGAGACATTTGTTAAGTGAGTTTTGCCCCACTTTACGATCTTTCTTGCCACCGTTGTTAAGTGAATGACTGCAGTTGTTAAGAAATGTGGTTGTTAAGTGAATCTGGGATTCGGGATAGAATCGGTGGTGACTGAATGAAGTTAAGAGTTTACTGCCCGGATGCCCTTCCTGACACCTACGCGGGGTTCACAGCAGATATTTTCTCTTTGCGCCCTGATAGAGAAACATCTGCCGCTGCCTAGGATTGAACTATCAACCTTCCGAGTGGGAGGCGAGAGTCTTCACCTCTAGGCCACCACGTTGCTCTAATGCCACTATTCATTAAGCCCCTTTAGATAACTGAATGCTATCCTGGTGCATTTGTGTTTTCCCCATTCTTCATTCACCTAGGTGTTACTGCTAATTTGCTACCCTTAGTTCAAGACGAACAGTGCTTGCCTGCTTCTATTTCTTTATAAAAATATAATCAGAACAAAAGAGGTGTTAGCTGAAAAGAACTGTATTGATGAAGTTGTTTCGCTCCTTTCAAAATGCAGCATTCCAATCTCGTGAAGTATCTGATGAAATAATTATATTTTGCACCCCCACGCCCAAAGCTTGATTATTTTCAGACTCAAAAGGTAATTCACGGTGTATTTTTTCAGGGATGGGGGGGGTGGAGATGTGAGCCAGAGGAGAACACCGAGTTGAAGTATAAAATGTACGCTTGTATAATCTGATGTAATCCCAGTCACGTTCAGGATTTCAAGTAAACAAGCTGGAGAATCAATAAAACAAATCAATGAACCAAAATAAGGGTAGAGCGATTTCACAAACTGTTTTCTCCTGAAATTACTTTGTCAGTTTTTACAGAACTGGGGTTGAATTGCTCACACCGGCAGTCCACACACTGGCTGCACCACCACCACCCCATTTTGGGCTGTGCCTAGCTGGGACTTCTAGTACCTTGGATCTTCCAAAACTGTCTTCATTGACACAAAGCACCTCTCTTAAAATACTATGAAAGCCAGTACGGTCTAGTGGTTAAGAGGCCTAGAAACCAGGAGATGGTGAGTTCCAGTCCTGTCTTATGTAAGAAAGCCGGCGGGGTGACTTTGAGCCAATCACCAGGAAATTGGGAATTCTAGTCCTGCCTTAGGCATGAAAGCCAGCGGGGTGACTTTGAGCCAATCACCAGGAAATTGGGAATTCTAGTCCCGCCTTAGGCATGAAAGCCGGCGGGGTGACTTTGAGCCAATCACCAGGAAATTGGGAATTCTAGTCCCGCCTTTGGCATGAAAGCCGGCGGGGTGACTTTTGAGCCAATCACAGGAAATTGGGAATTCTAGTCCCGCCTTTGGCATGAAAGCCGGCAGGGTGACTTTGAGCCAATCACCAGGAAATTGGGAATTTTAGTCCCGCCTTAGGCATGAAAGCCGGGCGGGGTGACTTTGAGCCAATCACCAGGAAAATTGGGAATTCTAGTCCCGCTTTAGGCATGAAAGCGGCGGGGTGGGTGACTTTGAGCCAATCACTAGGAAATTGGGAATTCTAGTCCGCTTTAGGCATGAAAGCCGGCTGGGTGACTTTGAGCCAATCACCAGGAAATTGGGAATTCTAGTCTCGCTTTAGGCATGAAAGCCGGCAGGGTGACCTTGGTCCAGTCTCTTACTTTCAGCCCAACTCACCTCACAGCAGTAGTGGGTTGCAAAACCCATCGCTACCGGTTCGCTCGTGTGCGTGCACACACACAATGCTTCTGCACATGCACAGAATGTTTATGCGCATGCGTCCAGCATGGGTGGGTGGAGCTTCCACCACCGCCGGCGCTACCGGTTCGCCGATCCAGGTAGAACCGGTAGCAACCCACCACTGCCTCACAGGGTTGTTGTTGCAAGGAAAATAGGAGGAGGAAAAAGTAGTAGATATGTTCCCTGCCTTGAATTATTTATTTAAAAAATAAAATAAAATGGGAAACATCACACACACACACACACACACACACAAACACAAACACAAACACCAGAGATCTCCAAAGACTGTGTTTCTCAGGGTAGAAACACAACCTTATAGCTCTGGATAGTTACCCTATGCAGGAACGGCCTCTGTAATTCAATTTGGTGCCCTTCAAATGTTTTCAGCTTCAACTCTCACCAGCTTCAGTTTTCGAGGCCGATCATTCCAAGTTCAAAGCATTTGCAATTGCCCCAAAGGTTCTTCGCCCTCGCAAGTAACCATTCCGCCCCGATTCATTTGAGTCCATTCAGCTTCGCCATGGTTTCCTCAGCCTTGATTATTATAGTTTTCTCCCACAACGTTATTTATTTTTTTTTTGCTCCAAATACAAATTATGGATGAGGATGATGATTTATTTATTTATTTTATTTTATTTTATTAAATTTCTATACCGCCCTTCTCCCGAGGGCGGTGAACAGCCACAAGATAAAACACAGAAGTACAAAAATTTAAAATAGATGAAAAACGAATTAAATAATTTGGCTGAATTTAAAATACCCCATAATTTAAAACAGATTAAAATTTGTATTTAAAATTTATATTTAAAAGGGGAGAAGATTTAGGCCAGGCCAGCTTGATGAAATAAAAAAGTTTTAAGCGCGCGACGGATGATGATGATGATCAGGGGTGAAATCCTCCCGGTTCGCACCGGATCAGGCGGTCCGGTAGCGATTATTTATTTATTTATTTAATTAATTAATTATTTAAATTTTTACACCGTCCCCTCTCCCGAAGGACTCGGGGCGGTGAACAGCCAAAATTAAAAAAACATACAATATAAACATTAAAATACTATAAAACAAAATTAAATTTATGGGCTTCCCCCAATTTAAAACCCCTTACCCATAAAATTCACCAATTAAAAAATGTTTAACCCAGCCCGGCTTGCTGAAATAAAAAAGTCTTCAGGGCCCGGCGGAAGGTACGGAGGTCCGGGATCAGTGGTATCCCTGGGGGTAGCTCATTCCGGAGGGCGGGTGCCCCCACAGAGAAGGCTCTTCCCCGGGGGGGGGTCACCAGCCGACATTGCCTGACTGGCGGAACCCTGAGGAGGCCCTCTCTGTGGGAGCGTATTTGCCGGTGGGATGTTATCGGTGGCAGAAGGTGGTCTCGTAAATAACCGGGCCCTAAGCCATGGAGGGCTTTGAAGATGAGAACCAATACCTTGAAGCGCATCCGGAAGACCACTGGAAGCCAATGCAGCTCGCGCAGGATAGGTGTCACATGGGAGCGCCATGTCGCCCCCATAAGTACCCGCGCGGCCGCATTCTGCACCAGTTGGAGCCTCCGAGTGCTCCTCAAGGGGAGCCCCATGTAGAGAGCATTGCAGTAGTCCAGCTGGTTCAGCGATCCGGTAGTGATGGTGGAGCAAAGCTCCGCCCACCCACCTGGGTGTCGTTACTTCCTGGTTTTAACCAGGAAGTAATGCGTTCATTACCTTCTGGGCATGCGCAGAAGGTCTGTGTGCGCATGTGACATGCGTGGCGCGTGCACTTCCAAACTGGTAAGGAAGGTAAGTAGATTTTACCCCTGATGATGATGATGATGATGATGACAATTATTTATAGAAGCGCATCAGCCTCTACAGCTTTTGCCACAAAGTCAGAAGGCAGATTGTCTTACCCCAAAGAACTGATAGTTGATACAAGGAAATGAAGGAGAACCAAGGAGCTTCAGGATTAAGGTGACAGATTAACAGAGTTGGAAGGGACCTTGTAGGTCATCTAGTCCAATCCCCCCTGCCCAAGCAGGAGACCCTACACCATTTCTGACAGGTGGCAGTCCAGTCTTTTCTTGGAAGCTTCCAGTGATGAAGCTCCCACAACTTCTGAAGGCAACTTCTGTTCCATTGGTTGATTGTTCTCACTGTCAGAAAATTTCTCCTTATTCCCAGGTTGAATCTCTTCTTGTTCAGTTTCCATCCATTATTCCTTGTCTGGCCTTCAGGTGCCTTGGAAAATAGGTTTTGAGTCTTATTATCAAATGCAGAATTGAGAGTGACTTAGGACATAGGGGAAGACGGTGCGCAATCAAATATGATCTGCCCGCTTTCCATCCGGTACGCCTGATGGCTTCTGCTCTTCTGCTTGTTTTCTTTTCCTCCTTCCTGACCCTTGCCAAGAGGAGATGTTTACCTGTTCGCTACTTCAGCTCTTCTTCTCTTCTTCCTTCTCTACTGCAGAGGATGGTGGGGACACCCGTCGTGACTTCTCTCAAGGCTCGGACTCTAAGGAGTACTGCTTATCTGACCGTGACATTGTGGAGGTGGTTAGGACAGAATACGTCTACACCCGCCCACCTCCTTGGTCGGACGCCTTGCCCACTATCCACGTGGTCACTCCTACTTACAGCCGGCCGGTCCAAAAGGCGGAGCTGACACGGTTGTCCAATACTTTTTTGCACGTTCCAAACTTGCATTGGATCTTGGTGGAAGATTCTCAACGTCGGACTGCTTTGGTCACTCGGCTTTTGCGAGATACCGGGCTGAACTACACCCACCTCAACGTGGAGACCCCACGCAACTACAAGCTGAGAGGGGACATGCGGGACCCCCGGATTCCTCGGGGAACCATGCAAAGGAACCTGGCCCTACGGTGGCTGAGGGAAACATTTAATAGAAATAGCAGCCAACCAGGGATTGTATATTTTGCGGATGATGATAACACCTATAGCCTGGAACTTTTTGAGGAGGTAAGATGCTCGCGGGCCATTCAGCCAACTGGGTTAAGTTGCTAATGCTGGCCTGCGGCGGATCATGCTTCCCTCTGTTAGGAAGCCTTGGTGGACCTTCTCCACCAATATTGAGATGGTGCAGAAGAGATTGAAGGTAAGTGGAAACACCGCGCTCAATTCTGGGTAGTTGTTTTTTTTTTTTTTATGTAGGTTATTTGTACAGATGAAGGTTTGACTTTAATCTTGACTTTAAGAGCCGCGGTGGTGCAGTGGTTAGAGGGCAGGACTGCAGGCTACGTCTGCTGCCTGCAAGTGGGCAGTTCGAATCTCACCACGCTCAAGGTTGACTCAGCCTTCCGTCCTTCCGCGGTCAGTAAAATGAGGACCCAGATTGTTGGGGGCAATATGTGGACTTTGTAAACCGCTTAGAGAGGGCTGTAAAAGCACTGTGAAGCGGTATATAAGTCTAAGTGCTATTGCTATCTTCCTTCCTTCCTTCCTTCCTTCCTTCCTTCCTCCCTCCCTCCCTCCCTCCCTCCCCCCTTCCTTCCTTCCTTCCTTCCTTCCTTCCTTCCTTCCTTCCTTCCTTCCTTCCTTTCCTCCCAGAGGTTAGAATGCAATATTGCAAGCTAACTCTGCCAGTGGTTTGATCCTCATTGGCTCAAGGTTGACTCAGCCTTCCATCCTTCCGAGGTGGATAAAATGAGGACCCAGATTGTCGGGGACAAGAGGCTGACTCTGTAAACTGCTTAGAAAGGACTGTGAAGCTCTGTGAAGCTGTATATAAGTCTAAATGCTATTGCTATTGCTATTCATCTACAGAAATTGCCTCATCCTCCATTCCCTTCTGAAATTCTGAGGGTCTTCAAGTCCATTTATGGTGGGTGAGAGCAGTGGTCATTTAAACCCATTTCCCATCATAGCTAGATGCCTTAAAGACGTTGCAGATGGATTGAGACAAGGATAGTTTCTCAGTCTTTTTGACCCCTCCCCATCAGACAATGATTGTTTACTGTTTCGGTACCAAAGGGGGAGGATGGAAGAAAGATGGAAGAGATGAGATGAATCTCTCTTATTTTACAAGCCATACCATTGTACCTTGTCAAATTGTATTTTGGGATTTTGAAAATTGAAGTCCAGCAGATATGAATGCAGCAATTGCTGCTCCGATCTTAATGATCGTGGCATTCAGGAGTGGCTGGTTTCTCCTCGATAGATCTTTTCAAACCAAGCACCTCCGCCTTTGGGGCAAAGAAAATATGTGATCGGCAAGCTAGTTTATGTCTTATGAAGAACGGCTGCAAGATTTGAGTTTGGCTAGTTCTAAAGAAAAGAAGGACTAGGGGTGACATGATAACAGTATTCCAGTATTTGAGGGGTTGCCACAAAGAAGAGGGGAGTTAAATTATTCTCCAAAGCACCAGAGGGCAGGACAAAAAATAATGGTTGGAAACTAATCAAAGAGAGAAGCGACCTGGAATTCAGGAGGAACTTCCTAACAGTGAGGACAATTAATCAGTGGAATAGCTTGCCTTCAGAAATCGTGGTGCTCCATCACTGTAGGTTTTTAAAAAGAGACTAGAATAGACAGTCTTTTCTATTATTTCTTATTCTATTCTATTCTATTCTATTCTATTGTATTCTATTGTATTCTATTCTATTCTATTCTATTCTATTCTATTCTATTCTATTTCTATTTCTATTTCTATTTCTATTTCTATTGTTTCTTATTCTATTCTATTCTATTTTACTATGCCCTGCCCTGCCCTGCCCTATTCTATTCTATTCTATTCTATTCTATTCTATTCTATTCTATTCTATTCTATTCTATTCTATTCTATTCTATTCTATTCTAATTTCTATTTCTATTTCTATTGTTTCTTATTCTATTCTATTCTACTCTACTCTATTCTATCTTACTATACCCTCCCCTCCCCTCCCCTCCCCTCCCCTCCCTTCCCCTACCCTACCCTACTCTACTCTACTCTACTCTACTCTACTCTATTCTATTCTATTCTAATTTCTATTTCTATTTCTATTTCTATTGTTTCTTATTCTATTCTATTCTACTCTACTCTATTCTATCTTACTATACCCTACCCTACCCTACCCTACCCTACCCTGCCCTACCCTACCCTACCCTACTCTACTCTACTCTACCCTATTTTGGAAATAGATGTTGATACTACAAGGAATGAAAGAGAGAAGGAAGTTGTTTTTTTTAGGAAGGACTCACAGGTGGCACTGAGAAAATAGTCCAAGCAGCAAAGGAAAGGGAAAAAAAATCTGATTTATAGGGGTGTGTATTCCACATGCTAGATTTGAAAGAATCTTTTAACAGGTTTCAATCTCTGCTAAGGATGTGCCGAGCGCTTTAAAAAAAAAGAACAACTCCGTTTAGCTGTCTGCAACAGTCGGGTGGAATTCATTTTTGACGTACATTTTTTTCTATAGATAATAATTTCATAACTGTCTATATTTATAATGCCTCATTACATATCGTGCTGTCCCCATTATCGTCTCCTAATTGACAAACTGTTCCTATAAATTGTCCACGGATTATTATTTTTTAAAATTGCAAATCACCTGCTTTCCTTCATTTAAAGGTTGTTGTGAATTGAATTCCCCTGACGTAGATTTTTTTTTTTTTATGCAATGCAACTGTCACTACGATGCAGATTTCTAGGGCGTATACATAGTCCTCGCTTAACAACCAGTCGCTTAGCAAACATTCCTAGTTAGGACGGACCTCACCAGGACTACTTAACACCCGATTTCGAAGTTCTAACAGCGGCTTACACACAAACCCACATACACACTTAACACAACACCACATACACACAAATTGCAATCTTGAGTGTTTGGCAGCTGGCTCGAATTTAGGGATCATTGGCAGAATCCTGTGGTCACATGAATTTTTAGTATTTTTTTTACCCGTTTCCAAGCGTTTTCAACAAAAAATGCCCACTGGGTAAAATGGGCTCATTTAATGTCTATAGTGTTTGCTTCATGACTGCCTCATTCATTCAATGACCACGACGGCGGCTTAATGACTACTGCAAAAGAGGTTATCAATCAGGCATGGTGAGGTGGTGACCTGTTTAACAACCTCCAAGACTTACAGCTGTCATTCCAAGTCATAAATCAGGGACTATCTATACACATGATGGTGAACCTATGGCACGCGGAGCCATATCTGCGGGCACCGAGCAGTTGCCCTAGCTCAGTTCCAGCGTGCATGCCCACCACCGGGCAGCTGATTTCTCGGCTGGCCCCGCCGACACCACCCCCTCCCCTCCTAGGAGTTTCCACGCGGCCCGTTTTGGATGCTAGGTAAGTACAGGGCTCACGCAGAGGCTCCAGGAGGGCATTTTTTCAGCCTCCAGAGTGCCTCCGGAGGAGTGGGGGAAGCTGTTTTCACCCTCCCCAGGCTCCAGGAAAGCATCTGGAGCCTGGGGAGGGCGAAAAAATGTGCCTACCGGAAGTCTGGAAACAGGCTGTTTCCAGCCTCCGGAGGCTTCAGGGTGGCCTGCTAGGCCCAAAACGGAGTGCAGGGGAGGGGTCGTGCATGCATGCACAGGGGAGTCTCACGCGCCTAAGGAGGGGCGCAGAGTGCAGGGGGGCATTAAATTATGGGTGTGGACACACGCACGCGTGACACACACACACACACCCCGTGCTTCCCCCATTTTTGGCACGCGACAGCAAAAAGGTTAGCCATCACTGACCTATACCTTTTTTGTTTCCAGATTATTTTTGGGGGGAGATGTCTGTGTGGCAAAATTTTGATCAAAGGTCATTAGATTTCGTTGCATGTCTGTATTTCCCACCTATAAACATCCACCCAGATTTCCTTCCAGGGGGATGTGATCCGATCAAGGTGAAAACGTCCGCACTTCTTTTCTAAATAGAAGTTGATTCCAGAATTCAGAATCACAGAATAACAGAGTTGGAAGGGACCTTGGAGGTCTTCTAGTCCAACCCGCTACTCACACAGGAGACCTTACTGGAGGCTAAACCATACGAAGAAAGGTATACCGCATTGGATAAATCATTATTCATGAGCTGCTAGTTCGCACTCAGAGAAACCCAGCGAGGTTGGGAGTGAGCCCGAAGGTCTTTAAGGCAAGACCACTATGCATCCAGGGGTGAAATCCAGCAGGTTCTAACAGGTTCTGGAGGACTGGTAGCGGAAATTTTTGAGTAGTTTAGAGAACGGGCAAATACCACCTCTGGCTGGTCCAGAGTGTGGGTGGGAATGGAGATTTTGCAATATCCTTTTCCCAGGAGTGGGGTGGGAATGGAGATTTTGCTATATCCTTCCCCCAGGAGCGGGGAGGGAATGGGGATTTTGCAGTATCCTTTTCCCAGGAGTGGGGTGGGAATGGAGATTTTGCTATATCCTTCCCCCAGGACTGGGGAGGGAATGGAGATTTTGCAGTATCCTTTTCCTAGGAGTGGGGTGGGAATGGAGATTTTGCTATATCCTTCCCCAGGAGTGGGGAGGGAATGGAGATTTTGCAGTATCCTTTTCCCAGGAGTGGGGAGGGAATGGAGATTTTGCAGTATCCTTCCCCCAGGAGTGGGGAGGGAATGGGGATTTTGCAGTATCCTTTTCCCAGGAGTGGGGTGGGAATGGAGTGAGATTTTGCTATATCCTTCCCCCAGGAGAGGGGAGGGAATGGGGATTTTGCAGTATCCTTTTCCCAGGGTAGGGGTGGGAATGGAGATTTTGCAGTATCCTTTTCCCAGGAGTGGGGGTGGGAATGGAGATTTTGCTATATCCTTCTCCCCAGGAGTGGGGAGGGAATGGGGATTTTGCAGTATCCTTTTCCCAGGAGTGGGGTGGGAATGGAGATTTTGCTATATCCTCCCCCCAGGAGCGGGGGGGGAATGGAGATGTGTACAGTATCCTTCCCCTGCCACACCCACAAGCCACGCCCAGAGAATCAGTAGTAAAAAAATGTGGATTTCACCACTGTACTTTCCCCATACACATAGTTCTCGACCTATACGGC